GTACCGGATTACCAGGTAGGACAACAAAACTGCTGAACCATCGCGTTAATATTTATCCCCATCGATGTTTATTTCATCAAACGATAATGCACCCCTCTCAGTCCTTTTTGTCTTCTTCAGTTACCTTTTTTTTTTTTCATATCATCACTATATTCAGTCTCGACGGAGCGTGAAATAATATATCCACCTTAGATATATATTGTATGGTAAATTACAGATATCGTGGGCATTGGGAAATCGTACATACACGATGCCACTACGGGGTAGAATTTTACGGGATGGGATTGCAGTATCGGCCTGTGGTAACGACGGGATTGCATGCTAAAATACACGTGAGCGTAAAATCGTAAATTAGCACCGTAAAAATTTTAAGGTCCGGGCGTGTAACAACGCGGGTAAAAATTGGTTGGATCCTCCAGGAGTGACTTTAAATACGAGTAACGTGTTTCTGACGCAGGGTGGCAGCCCTGTAGGTGCCATGTCAGAGTGAGACATTTACCCAAGGGTGTGTAAGTATATACGGTTATTCCTAAGGAAAATACATTATGCATGGCATAAGTTGAACAGGGTGTTCAACTTCCTCCGGTTAACGATATAAACAAATCATACGAAGGTCTGTTGCCTGAATGAAATTGTGACTCGGTGCGCGTCTTTAAATTTAATGAGAAACCGTGACTCGGTCGGATCGGTAGACGAAATTCTTAGGGGTGGAAGAAAAAAAAAAAAGAAGAAGTTTGTTTCATAAAGCACGAGAGGGAGGAAGTTATGGAATTTATTATGAAGAGTCATCGGGCCATCAAATTTGGCACTTTGCTTTATATTTCCATCAGGGCCTCTTTTGTTGAAACGTTCGGTAATGTACTTGTGCTCGAGAGGGTTGCCCGAGTGAATGAGGGTGTACGAGGGTTGAACAGGACGAAATGGTAGCTTGTGGCTATGGGTATATAGGTTTGTATTGGGTGGACGGTAGCGGTTATGTATTGGTGTTAGGGTAGCCACCGATCTCGAGCGTTCCGCGTGGGTGGGCCCCCACCTTATAGTGTATAGTTGGGCCTTATATATCCACTCCTTGTAGTTCTCGTAACGGGCCCCTCTTCTTGTGGATGATGAATGACTTTCTCCCCCTCGCAGTCCCACCCACAGTCACGGGTGGGACCGTTCTCCAAGAGGAGGTCGCATCGCGATTTGCATGTCCCGAATATTCGTTGGTGGTACACTTGTCTTGAAATTTTTGATTTTTTGTAGATTACAAAAAAAAAAGAGGTGGTCATTTGTGCGGATGATTTTGCGGTTTTTTTAACGGGGGGGCAAAATTTTTTTTCTTACCTTTTTAAAATTTTAGACTCGAGAGGTCGGTCGTTGATGTATCACAGTGTGGTTAGGTACCCCCTGATTATGGGGTGACTGTCGTGAAAATGTATCAACGAAAGTTGACACTGGGCCAGTATTCAAGGGGATGAAATCAGTAACCGCCCTAGGATGGTTAAAAGGCAAATCAAACATAAGGCCCAGTTTATTCTGTGGCCGGGTTTACGAGCTCGGGGCTACCTGCGAAAGAGTAGGGCTGCCGGTTTTAATATTTTATATATGGGCCCTTCTCTTTTATGCCGGAGCACGGGAGCACCCGGCGTGTCAAATAGAATTCGGAAGGTGGGCCCTGATATTTTGACACGGCTTTGAAATTATAATGATAATAGCGTCAGGGGATAGAGGGACTAACTTCCTAAATACACGTGGTAAATCACGTTCGCGCTTCTCGAGTGAGCAGGAATAAAGAGAAGAAAGAAGAGGCGCTACCATCGATCTCTACTACCGGTCTTAACGCACTCCATTTTGATATTCGTATATATGCGCGGAGCCGCGACTAACTTTGTCGGACGTTCATAACCTTAGAATTGGGTACCACCCTGTATATTCTGATCTCAGGAGGCAACATGTAGATGTACTATCTGAACTAAAACCCGAGCCGGTATCGTAGGTCGAATATCCTCCTGGAATACCTTTATTAGCGCCTACTCGTAGGTCGCACGACTCCTGGGCAGAACAAACACGTCGCCAGCCATCCAGCCAGCTTGGTAGCCAGCACGATCGATCTCTTTCGACGCTGGCAGGAAGAGCTGATGGTGGGGGAATTGGCTGGGGTAGGTGCCAGCCAGACATAGGGGATAACTCGAACGACAGGGAGTTGATATCCAAATGGTTAATACGCCACGCCCCTACTGAGTACCTATGGAACCGTAACGGCTTTAACCACTCCAAGTGGGACTTGGACGCTCCGCCTGTAATGGGCCGAGTTTGAATCTAGCTGCGCGCGCACGCTCTTATCTCTGGAATCCGGTTATGGTGGTGGGGCGGCTCATCTGGCGGAGGAGTAGGAGGTCAGTGGAGTTCGGGAAGTCGAGCAGCGCAGACGTGGTAAGGTCGTTTTGAGAACTGGTGCGCGGTTCGGTCTTTGAGTGTTGCTACTTGGCAGAATCTCTCTGTGCTTCTGTGCAAGACTGTTAGTGGACAGTGAGGAGTGAAGATTGAGTGTGTCGCCTTCGTAAGAGGATGCCTACCAAGGGGGAAAGGGGTAAAGCCACGGACTTCAGCATCGCGGCCATCATGGCGCCCAGGGGTCCGTCCTTCGGACATTACCACCTGCAGGCTCTCGGAAACACGCCAGGCAACACCTTGGAATGCGCTAGTAAAGCGTTCGTCAACGCTCCTCACGACCACCGTGAGTTTCCTTCCTGAAACCAGTCTTATCTCCTACTCGAAATCGCTTTGAGACATAAGAAAGAAAATAGAAAAAATTGAGACAGTGTAAGACCCGGGTTACCCGCATCTCTCTTGCGTCGTCCTTTGGAATATGTTTTAACTCCCGTAACCGGAGTCCCCGAAACTGAAACCGGCCCGGATCGAGTGTTGAAACTCTTCTTGCGGTGAATCAAGATCAAAACTACCAACCTACCGGCTGTGCGTTGGTATTCGTTCGCGGTTAGCTCCTGAGGATTGTCCCGGTTCGCGGTTTTGTCAGATTTACGAAAACCACAGGGATACCATCCCGACACGAGTATACTACATTGTATCGCCTTGGGGTTACGTGGATTCTTGGGTGGAAATATTGAATCCCTGCGAAATATTAAGAAGTGCAGTCAGGTTAACCGTAGAAATTAAAGTACCAATACAATGTAAGACGCAATAGCATTGGCGTAGCATATTTGAATAATTCGAAGAGTCTTCTAATCGTATAAAGGAGATACGTAAAATCACAAGCCTTCTACTAATTATGAATCCTAAGAACAAAGGTACGCCGCAAGTAATAACCTCAAAATATCCAACAACCTCCCAGATCATCATTCACTAATTTTAATATAATAGCCGTACCTACCTCATTCTTGAAAGATTAATCGTGGCCACATTTCGAGTTCCCAAATCGGTTGAGCGCGCGACTAATTTTCTCTCGCTGGAAGTAATATAGCGTCGGAGAAGTTTTGAAATTTTAAAGCAGGGTCGAGACCGTGCTTGAGAAAAGTGAAAATTCAAGGGACCCGGCTTTCTCTTCGTCCCTCACGGAAAGTGGAAAAAGGGCGCGTCGCAACATCCTCTGTCAGGACTCCCTTAATTCCTCAAGCCTATTCCACACGTTGTCTCAGAACGTTTACCGTCACGTCTCCCGGTAGATTGTCGCGACAGCCAACTGCCACTCGTTTCGTATCCTTGTCACTTACGAGAAACCAAGAGGGACGCCATAAGAAAAAGTCAAATTAAGAGATTGATGTTCTTCGCTCAAAGAAGTCCATTTTCGCCCGTGCCCTGTATACAGTTATTCGAATACGATTTTACACAGGGATCTCTTTCGTTACCCTTATGTCTGTAGAGTGTAACAGCTAGGAAACAGAGTAAAAGTTTTAACAAATTACCGACGGAACGCTGCTGCTGTTACACTGAATTCTTGATACCCGCGAAACTTTGAATACTCGCTGATAAAGAATATTTTTAATTATATAAATACACTTACGAGCTGTTCATAAGAAATTAAAGATTTCTCGTATCCTCTTGTAAGGATCTGTATGGATTTTTCAGTGAAGAGGTAAAATGCGATTTTAACAGAGGAAATCTCTACGCATTGTCCTGGTAATAGAACGAGAACATAATTCTCATGATCTACGTATTTACAGCCACAAAATGGCGGAGAGACTAAACGAAGCCAATAGCACTGATACATTGAAGCTGAGTATTGATATAGTTATTCATAACCGACGCGACACGAAAAAGAACAAATAATTCCATATTTATAGAAATTCAATGAAGGCTGGAGAAGTTATAACTTTCGAAATCTTTCAAAATCATTATGAAACCATTCTTTTAGCCTTACCTGAAAACTGTCAGTCTGATCTCTGAGAATTTTCTAATCCTTCAAGACGGTTTTCTAGAAATTGGGTTATAATTAGATTGCGTCTTTTTTCCTCCATGACTTTTTTTTCAACCTAAAGGTATGTCCACGTCGCCGGTGGAAATAGTGACGACAGCGACAGTCGTGACCGAGGAAGTCCTCGAGGAAGACGAAGAGGAAGGTATCGGCGAAGCCGAGAGCGAGGAAGCTGAGAAATCGACGAACGACGAAGAGGAAGAGGTCGACGTTGACGTGGAAGAATGTAGTAGCGTGGAGGAAGGGCCGATCAGCATCACGGAGGAGCATACCTCGCGGAAATGCGCAGGGAGTGCCGATACGGAGAGAAAACATCGCAGAAGGACAAGTTGCAATTCGGATGAGTTGAGGGACGTCGAGTGTCACTTGGAGACAAAAGAGCTATGGGATAAATTCAATGACCTTGGAACGGAGATGATAATTACTAAAACCGGAAGGTCAGTAAATACGTTTCCCCATATACATATATATTACACGTATATTAATAATCATTTATCAAATTCTCATATTATTTCCCATAGCAACAAAAGTAATCACGACGAAACGTAACCTAATAACAGCTCAATACGTCACGATCATTGGAATGATTGTAAAATTCACGAACTGCGTTGACAATCTAATGCTGATTGATTATTAATATTCCATGGATTAATTTGATTCTCAAGGTCGACCTCCTTTGTTCCCATTACGTTTATTCTTTTTTTTTTTTATTTTTTTTTTTAACATTACCCAGTATCACGAATAGCCATTATCAGACTACAAAATTCTGCATTAGAAATTTTCCTTTCTAATATTTAACGAGACGTATCCATGTATGTATATGTCAAAAAGAACATTATACACCCCTCCTATTGGAAGTGAATTTTGTGATACATAAATTCGACGTGGACTCCCTCGTCCATTTGTTGAAAACGTAAAATGATCGACACATCCGTGAAGAGGCTGTTTGGTCTTTCCTCGCGATCAGACCCTCCGTCTATTCTTTATAAGTATGCTAATAAGCAGCTGCACCTTTCGTGATGCGTGACCAAGTCCAAGTTACGAGATGTTCCCGTTCGAGGATCTTAAAACGTTTCAAAGGCGCTAGACGTATCTGTCTTTTGTAATGAAAGAAAAAAAAAAAGTAAATTCTCCCAAAAAAAAAAAAAAAAAGAAAAACGCGTATTTAGGACTTCAGAGTATCATTATTACCCGCGCTACGATATTGGACGAATATAAAATCATAAGTGGTTACGCACGACGTGAAATACGTTCAGTGAATTTATCGTGTAATTTTATCGTTTACACGAAAACTCGTTACCGAGTAATTACACCGGTAATACTATCTGACAATCCTTTCCCGCATAATAATATAACGAATAATAGAACTCTCGGGTGGCGTATAAAATTCTTTACCATATATTACAGATGCCTACGTACCTCGCGCGGGACAAACGATTTTCACTGTATTTAAATCAAAATTAATAACAGCAATAAATCGGCGTACGGTTAATGTCTAACGAAAAGACATCGTTAGGGAACATATACAGATCCGTTCAAGAAAAAGTGTCAGTCCTGAGTTTGACAATACGGATTCGGACCAATCAGGTGGAATTGTACTGTGACCACGGGGTGCCGGGACCCTTTCTTTCTTTTTTTTTCTTTTTTCTTTTAAAGGACCCGTTTCAATCTTTCCCACGTTTCGATAGTCGACGGCATCGCTCTCTCTCTCTCTCTCTCTCTCTCTCTCTCTCACTTGCCCAACTACCCTATCTCCCTCTCTTTTCAATACACTAAAAATTGTTCCCTTTCAATATTTTACATATCAGCCAAACCTCAAGGGTCAGTGCACCAGCGTAGAGCAGCAACAACATATCCAATTTCTGCCAACTGACGACCCCATAATATCGTCACCCCACAGTTATAATATGTAACATATCCTACATGAAGTAGTCAAGGGAATTGAAGGGATGGGGAATTCGAATCGCTTCCGAATCAATTTGCGGTATATGGTACCCTGACGAAATAGGGAGGGGGAGGTGAATCGTCAGGGTGTAGTGGGAAAAAAAAAAAAAAAAAAATTCCCTAGTAAAAAAAACTAAATGATAATTCGACCGTCCATGAGCGAACTCGACTTCTGCCTATAGAAATTTCGTCCAACTTCTCATCCACGTGAACATCCTCGTTCTCCCATGTTCTTTGTCGAGTGTATATTATATAAAACTGTGAAAGTGTGGACGAGCCAGGTCAGGATAGACAGGATACAGTGGATCCAGGACTCGTCACGCGAACCCTTCATCAGCGTGGCGGCAATCTATATTACGCACACGCACACACTTTCTCGAGGGCTAATATACGATACGCACGTATAATTATAATAGCGACACCACCTGGCAACGTTGTGAAGTCGTTAGCTCGACAAACAGTTAAGTAACTCAGATGGTTACTTAGATCGGTATAATATCCAGCGCTTCCGTAATCCATTTGTTCGACCCTTCTCTCTCGAGCTTCGCTGCTCTCTGGCTACTCCGAACTCGATCATGGTCTACGCCAGTTCCTCCCTGTACTCCCTCGTATCATGGTCACTGTATGTATACGTCCGTATACAAAGTCCATTTACTCTCGGGCGATTTAGCCCGGAGGCTGAATCTGTCTCTCTCTGTCGCTTCTTGGCTAGGGGTTGTTTCCTCGCTCGCTCCGGGGTAGCTCCTACGCGATTATAGGCTCGTTAACCACTGGCATGGGGTCTTGTTTGGTTTGGACTAATTGACAGGGTTACACGAGATCAAGTGGTTTATTCTTTGTTAACGTAATATATATATATATATATATTTTTCTTTTTAATTTTTAAATTGCCCAATGCGTTTATAAGGGGTCGTTAGAAATTTATGGGGTGTGAGAAATCGACGCTGTGTCTAGTAGAATTAAGGGGGTGGAATGGTGACGTGGTATCTTGTATTCTATACCTTTTGTGTACAAGTGTCCCTGCGGTATAGACATTGTACGCGGCCGAGACACGTAGAGCTTTTATTTCATGATTGACAGTATCGTGATCGTTGGTCCTTTGATCCTTCGAGCACAAAGGGAAAAATTCATAGGATTGCCGGAGCGCCGGTTAGCACCGGAGGAGGACGAGGCCGACGAACCCGCAGAGTAGACTGGCTAAGAAAACCTGGTAGTACGTGGAGTTCCGTGCTGTTGCAGCTAGTATTAGAATCACCATCAGGAAGATCAGTGCGAGTAATAGAACTCGAGGAATTATCGAGTGTCCCTTCCTGGTAGGCAGGCGTCTTTTACGTGTCTGAGTATGACGACATTGCGTCCTCGTGGGGTTGTTTTTGCCTTTGGATAAGTTTTTTTCGCAAACACCATTTTTACGCGGATCTGACGTCACTGTACGATTTCGCGGATTACAGACACCCGGACATACGGGCGGACGTCCGCAGCTCGTTAGTCTCTGCATCCCATGCCTAACCTAGAAATCAAGACTGTCGACCACCAGACAGTCTTTTTATTACTTGAACCTTTTTTTTTCTTATCGTCAGCTGTGTTACTGGCCATGTTCAAAGCTGTTTACTTCTGTTTCGATTTATTGAACTATTTTTGGTCCTCATTGGTCTGTTGACAGACGCATGTTTCCTACCTGTCGAGTCTCCTTCAGCGGACTCAGGACCGAGGGTCGCTACGCGGTGCTCATGGACATTGTGCCGGTGGACAACAAGAGGTACAGATACGCCTATCACAGGAGTTCCTGGCTGGTGGCTGGGAAAGCCGATCCACCGGCACCGGCCAGACTCTACGTACATCCGGACTCGCCGTTCACCGGCGAACAGTTGCGCAAGCAGGTCGTCTCCTTCGAGAAGGTCAAGCTGACCAACAACGACATGGACAAACACGGTCAGGTAAGGGAATTCGTACTTGCCGGTCTCGAAGGGAGTCCGGTGAGAAACTACGGAGAAGGAAGATTGGGTATTCGAGTATAAGAGACTGTACAAAGGTGTCTGCAGTGGAAGCGACTCGAGCGTCCCCGTGGGTGAGATACTCCACGGAGGTCGTAGGAGCCATAATGTTTCGGCATTATAGGTGGACGCTGGGTATATCGTAGGTGGTTAGACTACGCGCATGCTCATAAGCTAATAAATTGAATGAATGTTTGCCCGGAGCTTTTGTCATGATGATCATGGGTAGCCCACGCCCGGCTATGAGGGCTCTAGTGCTGCCCCCTGCGCCACCTCGGGACTTCAGTGTCCCCGGGTTGACGTGCGCGAAGGAGAAAAGTAGCGAGTGAGTGAGTGAACAAGTGTGCTGGGTGAATATATGTATACGTATAGTCGTACCGGTGAAAGAGAGACGCCGAGATATGCAGACAGCGAGAGAGCGAAGGACGAAAGGCTCTCTCTTCCTTGGTCATCTCCTTTAGGTACTCCCGTGGCCGAGGAACGCCACTCAGAGAGACTCAAGTCGAAAGACTCAAGTGGTAGGGAACATTCCTTCGCTACGGCCACTATTTCATCGTTTCGTATGACGCGATATTATAAGACCCCCGCCTGTGAGCTGCTACTACATGCCTCTTCAAAGGTGCTCGTCTCTGCGCTGGAACCGGGGATACCTTGGTATTTTTCGTTGAAGGCTGCGCTTTCGTTTTGGTGATGGGTAGCGGATGGCTACCGGACCCATATTGGATGTGGTTACGGAGACTGATGTCGGTGCTCCGTCTAGTTGTTAGTGCTGGATATACCCGAGCGGTTATAATGATTCTTGATGCATCCTGTACGTATAGCGACCAACGTGGTTATCTTACGAAACGGTGAATTTAACATACATTATAATCAATGAATTGGCGCCGGACACCTTGCTGCGATCCTGAGGTCTCGCTCAATTACGAGTGCAGCTGTTTAATTAACGTGCTAACGATTTACCATGGGATTTTTTTTCCATTGGCACAGAACCACTTCGATGCAACCCGCACAAATTTTTCTACTCGTCCCCGCGTACGATTTATGGCTGATTTTCATCGCTAGCACCGTACGCGCCTCTTAGTCGATGATAATATTGTATGGGGGTAATGGGGTCTGGCTAATTGGAACGCTTTCCGGGAGCTTACTTTATTGCTATCCATTCGGATAGGAAACTTTGCTGTTACGAGAAAAGTTTTGTTTGACCTTTTTTTTTATTAGGTACACAATCGTCTTAGTTTGAATATCGATGAATTATGGGGAAAAAAAAATTATAGAATTTTTGGTTTTATACTCGATACAGTTCAGAATTCAGATATCACAGCAACCTCTTAAAAATCTCAAAGTAATATATTTTTTTTTTTCAATATTCGTAACATCCATTGTTTTCTGAACGCACGTACTCGTACTTGTCGTATAAAAAAAAACGGCACTCGTATATTAACTGTTATTAATTTTTAAAAATAAAGTTTAGACAATAAGTCCGCCCATAGGCGTGTTCCACGAATCGTCAAAATAGCTCCAAGACGGAAGCATACTGAGTTCCCGTTAAAATTTTAAACTGGTCCCAAAAAGTAGGCACTGATCAATTCTGTGTTTTTGTTGACTCTCGTGGCAGGCCGTATTAACGTATTTAGGATCGTAAAACCAAAATTTCCATAAACCGTCGAAAAGAAAAGTTCCCGTCTTTCGTTTTCACGAATAATGGGAAAAGGTGGGCTCGGCATTAATAAAACTCACCAATAACAGTATCACGAGTGACTTACATGATTGTTTTACATGAGTGACGTAGATAACCAGTAAAGACGTCGCTCTCGATTAGACTGGTACACCTCTCTCTCACTATATATATATATATATATATATATATATATATATATATATATATATATATATATATATATATATATATATATATATATATATATATATATATATATATATATATATATATATACATACACATACACGCATACACGTGACTTTTTATCTGATGAGTTGAAGCGGCTCGTTTTCCGAAGGAAGCGCACGGGCCACCTGCAGCCGTTAAATTTAAACAGTCCGCAGCCGCCTTCATATTTCATATTAGCGATAATATAAGTCCCTGCCGTATGGACTCGTCATTCTTTCTAGGAAAATGCGCTAACGAGCCAGCTTCTTCGTGTGTCTCATCTTATGTTTACCTGAGTGGCCAATAAACCAGCCTATTATTGACGCGCGTGGCTATTAATGTCTTTAGAGCATTATAAATACGTCGCGAATATAACGTATTATATTTGTATATATATATATTAACGATCAAATGAAGCCAACGTACTTCCTATGTCCCGAGGATGAAATTTCGCGGAATCAATGTATCATTATGTATTTGGATCATGCGATATTTTTTATAGTTTTTTGTTTTTTTTTCAGATTGTTCTAAATTCGATGCATCGATATCAGCCGAGGATACACCTGGTCAGGTGTCGTAACGAGAGCAACGAGCCAATCACGGATCTTCACAAGGAGGAGCACAAGACGTTTATCTTTCCCGAAGCCATTTTCACAGCCGTGACGGCATATCAAAATCAATTGGTGAGTAGACTACGGATTACGTAATGTTTACGTTCTATCAGCAAGTTGGATGCCGATTAAGGAACTGTGCTTGATGTTAGATTTTGTTTGATTCCTAGATAACTAAGTTGAAGATCGACAGTAATCCCTTCGCCAAGGGTTTTCGGGATTCGTCAAGACTCACGGACTTTGATAGGTATGTTGTCAATTTTGTATAAAACCTTTATGGGCCCTTGAAAGGAAATTCAATCATCTTAACGATAACTGGAAACATAATATATGTGTCATTATATATATATATATATATATACATATAATGATATTGATGAAGTTCATTGAAGCAACGATACCATAATGGCGGTCGAATGACGCCATTAAATAAATTATTTGGCATAATGGGGTATGGATCGTTGAAAATATCAAGTGGATGTCTATTGCTATGATTTGTAAAAAGACACATCGTCATAACACTTATTGCTAGCGTGATAATGAATTACAATTTGGTATGTGATTCGTAGCAATGCGATGCGAGATGTCTAGTACCGGTCCTAGTATATTCATTGGTGTAGTAGGTGCGAAAGTTAAATTGTCATAACAGTTCAGCGTGTCGATAAATTCGTAGTAACGATAGTAACCGCGCGAAATTCAAATTAGCACAAGTGACGCAACCCTGTAACCAGTATAACCAGAAAACACCGAACCCGCCCAAGATCACCAAAGTACTTTATCAGTGACAAAAATAAGCTTGGCGAAAGGAAAAATGAAAAATATCAATAGGAAAGCGCGGCAGAGCTGTTTAAAGTCGCGAGGTGATA